TCCATTTCTCGCCGTATCCTGAATTATAAAATGTCGAGCAGGTCGCGCACCTGTGCTCGCGGGGAACCGCACTCGTATCGATTGGATCTCCGATCACCGCGATACCTTTCGGCTGCCTGCCAATCCCGATCTTTGGCACGCCGACCTCTCGATTATCGTGAGTGAAACGTCATCGGGTGAGATACGATTCTCACAGAAAGAAAAAGAAAGAGAGAGAGAGAGAGAGATTTTCTTCTTTGGAACGTCCGACGTTGCGACAGCTTCGAGTATCGCGCGATCCTTGCTTGCTGCAGTTGTTCGAGAATAAAGAAACGGAGGATTATTGGTGAGTGATCTTCTTTGCATCCTGTCGTTGTAGAATTTCTCAAGTTCAGCTGTTGTAACTTTGAGTTAACTCGACTTAACTTTAACTTTATCAACCTGAGTTTAAGTTAAATCGAAACTTTCTCGGAGAAATTTGGTACTCTCTTGGCCACAAGTCACAAGTCACCGTAGCTTCTCGTTTCGACTCTGAATATTTTAAGATACTCTCTTCAACGTGTCACGCGTGTACGTGAGAAACACGGAGTTGGAGCATAAAAAATTAAACTCGGTTGAATCAACGGCCGCAAGATAATTATCCAGCAGTTCTTTTTGAAGAAGAATATAAGGAAACGTAGAGCTCGGAGCGCTCGGGCCGGTGTTACGTAGTACACCGGCGTTCTCCTTACACAAACAACTTCATTTAATTAATCGAAATAGGTTCGCTGTCGAGGAAACAAGCATGCAAACAAAAGTACGCTCTTAACCCTTGCTCGCTGAACGCTGTTTTGAAGATTCCTTCTCTTTGTTTTTTCCTCTTTGAGTTGGACTTTCGTCGCTTGCGAGCCCTTGGGACTTCCCGCTGGTAGAGGCGAAATGCCAGCACCGATATTGCCAACCGTATTACGCGCGAGAAATTTTGTCTGACGAAAATTCGAATACAAAACTCGGATCTTTGAACGCGAAGCACACGCTAGTAGTACGATCCGTTTCGAGTCGGACAAAGAAACGCTACGATGTTGAACTGGACTCCGCTACTTTTATTTATTATCATTCTTTTTTTTTTTTTTTTAATTTTACGACGAAAGATTTCAATTAGCGATGGCAAGTTATCAGACTCTTTAAATTTATCTTCGCGTCTCGTGTGATGATTCATACACGTTTGAAAAATTCACGATATTATTTCAGTAATAATGCACGCGCAGCCAATATTTCCTTTCTCGACTGATGGGAAATTCGTACTTTTACAAGGCGCGGCTACAGGTACGGGACTTGAAATGAATTTGTCCGCTTTACTCATTGAATAATTCAACAAAAATTTCATTATCCGTATTTAATGGACTTCTGCATATCGCGCGGCGATATTCGTACCTACTCGCACTCGTAAATTTCCTACAGATATCGGCAGTGATAAATAAATAATGACAACACCTGCAGCTTAATTATCGTCGAGCTTCTCAACGTTCATTTTGATGGCCTCTCCGTGATAATAATGTGTCGTATAATGACATTCAAATCCGCTGAATTAATCACAATTTATTAATTATTAACAAATTGACGAGCCGTGCGTCGCGGATTGCAGAGATTCCTTAATTTCATTTCTTTGCGAAAGTCGTCAGACTTTCGCGCTCGTATATTTCGTAACACCGATGCACACCATTTCGCTCATCACACCGTACTTATTAATTACGGAAGACATTTCGATGCATGTCTTCGATTTGGGAGGCAAGAGGCAGCCGGCTGAGAATTTCACGAAGCAATTTCGATTTTTCGAAGGGAGAAGCAGCGTTGACAGCGTTGGAATTTCACCGAGGAGCAGCACCTCGCACGGTAAGTCGCCCCCTTTGAAAGAAATTTCTGCTTGCTCGACAGAAGCCCGCGTAAAGTCGACTTTCAGTATTATTCTTTCGATCAGTCAAAGAAAGAGATAACGTCGCACATCGTTGCCTAACTTCGTTCTACGTGTTCCCCCCCTTTTTTTTTTGTTTCAAAGTATCATTCCCCCTTTCGCGTCGCAACGTAGACGGACAGTGAGATAGATGGATCGAAGGAATCGATCGCAATGGGATTTCCATAGAAATATCCTGGAGCTGGTTACTTTCTCGTGTCCAAACTAATAGAGGAGACGAAAGTATTCGGGTTGGTGGCATTGTCACGCGAGCCTTATATATATATATATATATTTCGTTCTAGCGTTGGAGTTGAAAATATAGATCACGCGATAACTTTATTTCTATTAATTTGTATTGCATTTACATGTATATCAAACCTTAAATACTATCGTTCGAGTTACCAAAATCTCGCGTGATTGAAAGTGAAGTGAAATTGGAAATTTCAGAATTTAATCTCGAATGGCCCGACCGCGATACTCGTTGGCAGTTAATTTGTATTAACGCACAAAAATTTATATTAACCCTCAAACACTGTCATCGGGTTTATAACTGTATTTAGAATTTATATTAAATTATTATGTTACCAA